ATATATATATATATATATATATATATATACGCAAAAAGAAATTAAAAATACCTTAAGTATACCATATAGGAGTAATTCAAAAGAGTTTAAATAAACTCGCTTTTTAGACTATAATACAAATATCAAATATATAAGCAAAATAAAAACTATATTTTTATTGTATGTGAAACCTTTTTTTTAATTTATAAAAATTAAAATATTAAATTATCCCCCCCCCCCCTCTCTCCCACACTACAAGTACCCTTCCATTTTCTCTCTCTCACCACCTAAAATGTCAAAAATCAAACACACCCTTCTCCTCTCTCTAAAATAGAAGAAAAAACATAGTTTCAAATTTAGAAGTGAAAAAAGAAGTATTTCAAACTGGCCATTGATAATCAAGATTCTACAATCAAACACAAGAACAGAAGAATTATGGTAAATTTCAACTATATCCCCAAAACCCCTTTTTGTCTCTTTACATTATTTTAGACATAAATTTGATTGAAATTTGAAGAGAAAACAGAGTTTTCAAGTTTTAGTTTTTAGAATAAGTATCTAAAATTTCATGTTTTTTTGTTTTTCATATCTATCTGCACTGCACTGAAGTTCGATTAATTTAAATTCATGCATGGTAAAACGTAGAAACATTATATGAAAACTAGAGTCGTGTCTTAACATGTATTTTTTATTTTGAAAATTGAAATTATGTGAGGGGAGAAAGAAAATTCACTTAATGTTTTTTTTTTCAAATTTGGAGAACTCATTATCAAAAATCCAAATTCATTGATTTTGGTGTTTGGTTATAGATTGGATAGAAATTTTACAAACAGATAAATTAAAATTGTGTTTGAACATGCATTTCTCTCGTAAAAGTAAATCTTGTGAGTAGAAAATCCAATTTCATTGATATTTTTAGGCATTTGGATATGAGTTTGATTGAAAAAAGTTTTTTGTTTCAAAATAAGTTTTTGAAGTTGAAATTCAAAAATGTTATTGAAAAAAATAAAATTTTATAAATGATGAGAAATTTCACCTAAATAATTGGTCAAAATTATTATTTCAAATTCTATAGACTATCTTCAAAAACTAACCAAACTTCAATATTATTTTGCTTGACAATTTTTTTATTCTTTTTTTGGGTATAGGGTGTTGGAGGAGCTGATGAAGAAGAAAATAATTGGCCACCATGGTTAAAATCATTGCTTAAAGAAAGATTTTTTTTTCAATGCAAGTTACATATTGATTCTCATAAGAATGAATGCAATATGTATTGCCTTGATTGTATTAATGGTCCTCTTTGTTCTCTCTGTTTATCTCATCACAAAGACCATATTGTCATTCAGGTATATCTTATTTCATAAATTCTAATTTAAGTATTTAAAAGAATCGTATGATGTAGACAGTCTATTCTAACGTAAGTATTAACGATAGTGACTATTAAAATGATTGATTTTTTGTTGGACAGATAAGGAGGTCATCATACCATGATGTGATAAGGGTGAATGAGATTCAAAAGTATTTGGACATTTCTTTAGTCCAAACATACATTATCAACAGTGCTAAGATTGTCTTTTTGAATGAAAGGCCACAACCTAGGCAAGGCAAAGGTGTCACAAATACATGTCAAGTTTGTGAAAGGACCCTTCTTGATTCTTTCAAATTTTGCTCTCTTGGTTGCAAGGTACTTCAAATCTCGAATTCATCAAAAATGATATCGTATATATCTTTGAAAATAAATATTATTCAAACGCTTAAAAGATGATATCGCGCGTAAAGATTCGACACACTGGGCAGTATTTTTAAGAGTCTAAATAATATACTCTAAAACAACAATGTACTTCTAGAGAAATTCTTCTTTTTTCCTCTGACCAAATTTTCTTGCATTTATTTGACTCTTTAATTAATTTGTGGAGGATGCATTGTATTCTTCAAAAAATATTCTACTTGGTTTTTTTCCAAAATACAACATTTTTGGAGGATCCGATGAGAACACATTGCGTTTTTCAGAGGATGTCATATATTTTACGGTTATATTGTATAGATTCTTATAAAAATTTTATAATCAGATCCTTTAAAAATTATGATATTTTTAGTGATCTGACACACCTAAATTGACATTTTTCCTTTATTAAATTTTGTTGCATTTATTTGACTTTTTAATGGCATTGAATTGAATTGGGCGTGCCCAAGAATCTAGAATTGCGTATATTTCAAGGTATATTTTGGTTTAATGGTCGTTTGGCATTAAATGGAGGCGTTGAAATTTCACTCATATTTATTGATCTATTGATAGGAAAACTTTGGCATAAACAATCAACTTTTTTTTTTAATTCGAAATTTCAAAAGTTGTTAGGAATTGAAACTTCAAAAATTATATGTGAATTCTCCAAAATTATGTACAAATCCTCCAAAAATGACCCTTTTAGCATTTTGAGGAATCGATACGAATCTGGCATTATTTTTAAAGAATTCAAGCAATTAAAATTAATAATCCTTTCTTACATTTATTTTATACTCGATTTTGGAAATAACACTCAAATCTTGAGTATTACATGTTTTTGACATTTAATAACATATTATATGAATTGAAGTGGTCCAAATAAGACAGAATGATTTATATAGTCGATTCAAATTCATTTTTTGCAGGTTATTGGGACCTCAAAGAACTTCATTAAGAAACCGAGGGACTTATCAGCAAAAAGGCAGTTAAAGGCGATAGCATCGGACTCCGATGACCCTTACAGCCCCAACAACCATAGTCGATATAGAAGTACCATCATCAACAAGGTGCAAAGTTTTATTCCATCGACACCCCCTCCAAGTTCTGTTAATTACAGAACGGCCAAACGAAGAAAAGGAATTCCACATAGGTCCCCAATGGGAGGACTAGTTATAGAATATTAAGTCCTAAACTTATATACACAAAATATACAATACAATTACTGAAAAAAATACTAGCGCCTTTCCTCCAAAAAGGCCAGTGTTTGATAACTTTTGTCTATAAAGAGAAATAATGTAAAGTTAGAGGGTGAACATTGAAACAAAAAAAATGGAAGGACTAAATGTGTTAAAATTAGAAGTTGGGATTAGATAATACTTAAGTTATTGTACTTATTGATAATATTATACTGTTTGTTTGACTTTTGCTTTTCAAAGGTTTTGTATCTACAAAATTAGATAATACTGTCCTGTGGATTGGATATTTGAACATTTTGTATCTATAAAAATGAGAGTTTTGGTATTGTAAATAATTTATAACATTCTTGTTTGTTTACATAATAAATAGGATGTTATTGAATTGGAATTTATAGCACTTTTCTAATACTAAAGTTTTGATTTAAAATATTGAATTAATGTAATATAATTTAACATTAAAATTAGTCAAATTGACTTTTGAAAAGTTAAAATCACAATTAAAAGTGGACAGTAGGAGTATGAACAAAAGGCAAAATATAGTAAAGTTGATCTATCTATTACAGATTTCTTAATCATAGTGTAAAATATTCATCTAATATTGAACGAAGAATACTAAATTGGATAAGTTATTATGAAAAAATTATACTACTATACGAGTTACAAAGCATAATGAAGTTAGAAATACTAATGTTTATTCGACCAAATAATATATATAGTGATAACTGAATTCACAACCAAATATTTACAAATATTTAGTACAAGTAAAAACGATTGTGTTTCTGTGAATCTATCCATTCTTTTCTAGATTATCATTATTATTTAAAGAAAAAGAATTGCAAAAATATCACAATTAGCTAAATCTTCAAAAATAAAAAAACAAAAATCATACTTTGTCCAGAAAAGTGGATAACTTTAATACTTCACCAAACCTACAATTTCCACTGATAGTTTTGCTATTCATTTCTCCAAAATTGATGCAACTTCTCATTGTGTTATGCCCTTTCATATTTTTTGCATTTATCACATGTTGAGGCAATCTCATAGTAAACCTATCTTCATTTTCCCTTATTATAATTATAGAGTGCCCAGTCGATTGTGATCTTGTGAATTTTTTGCCAGTCTTTTGTAATTCAATTGACCCTGTCGTTCCACTATTAATATCGTTGTGGCATGCAGTTTCTGATGACTCGCCATCATTACTCGTGCCATGCATTGGAGATTGTGTACACGACGACGACGACTGAAGCTTAATGCACTGGACTGAATCTAGATTCGCACGACATACGGGGCATGTCTTGTGTGATTTAAGCCAATAGTCAATGCATTCTTGATGAAACACATGGTTACATGTTAACAAACGAATAAAGCTATTGTCTACAAATTCTACCAAACAAATAGCACATTCAATTCCAAATTTACCCTCACCATAATCTTGTACACTTGAATAGATGAATGTTGGAAAAGATTGAATAATTAATGGATCAAGACCTTTCTCATTTTTTGTTGGACAAATGGGATATCCAGCTACAGTAATATACCATGAGTCTAGTATATGTTGCATGAAACATCTACAAAAGAAAATGGTGAAAAAAATAATAAAAAGGACTAGAAAGACAGTGAATGTGATAATTAACGGTGGGGCGGAATATGATAATGGTAATAGTGATGGAGATGGTGATGGTGATTTCTCTATGAAGCTCGTCAACATTTCTATTGAAGAAAGCAAAGCGAAAAAGTTATCTTAGTACTATGAGATCCATAAATGATGCCTTAAAAGTATATTCATTTTGTACGGTAAAAAATAATAAAGAATATTATTCTAAATGTGAAAAAAATAGATTTCTTTTTTCTAGAGCAAAGGTAGGAAATCAAGGATGAATTTTATCTCTGAATTAGTCGCACTTTTGCTCGGTCATAAGTATTATCAACAAATTAATACTTTATTAAAGATGGATTTTCTCACAATATTGTCTAACTAAATCCCAATAAAATAGAGTTATAATATCTTTTATATTTTTTTAAAAAAAATGTATGTTCATTACTCTTTTATTATATTTAAAAGTATAAGTGTTCGATATATGTAAATCACATAACTTCTAAAATGACATGATACCTCTATAAGTAAATAATATATATTATATCAAAAGTGCTATTTCAAGTTTATAGAAATAGTGATTCATAGAAAATTAATTTAGAAATGAGTGAATTTCTCAATTTTAGAGAAAAAGTATTGAAAACACTCCTAAATTTGATGTTAATTAGTAGTTTTATCGTCAGACTATTGACAACCTTAAAAATACTCCTCTACTTGACTAAATGAAATAAATTTAGATACACTCTCGATTTGTCAAGAGAAGTGTTGAAAACACCACCAAAACTTAGTGACAATTTAAGGATGTATTTCATTCATGTTATAAAATCGAAGGTTTAATTTAGTTCAATTAGTCAAGTAAATAAGTGTTTTTAGAGCTGTCAATAGTTTGGAGATGAAACTAATAATTCACACCTAATCTAAAGGCGTTTTCAATACTTCTTTCTAAATCTAAATTATGAAAACTCGTAGAAGCGATGAAAATATTAATGTTTATTATTATTAAAAACAAAATATGACTAAATAGAGTTACAACTACTAAGAAGACTTCTTGATTTTCCACAAACTATTGGAATTTTCATATAGTAATTTACCATTTTTTTCTCAACTAACATACAATTGTTCTAATTCTCGTGAATTCAATAATATTTATGATATCTTTGATAAATATGAGCTTCAATTTTAGATATCGTCAATCTTCTTGATCATAATTTTGTTCAATTTCTTGTTGCTTATCCTCTGTTGGATTATCTTTGTATCCTTCTCAAAACTATCAAATCAAAAAAGGAAAAGAAAATGTTAGTAATAAAGCCATATCCTAAAAAAAAAAAAAGCAACACTAAATATAATGATCAATGAAATGTTTTCTAAAAATTTTCATAAACTTTAAATTCTTGATTCACCCAGAATATTTTTATCGAAATACAATTTATAATTTTAGATTTTCAACAAAAATTAATAGAAAATTTTATTTCGACAAATTTAATAAAAAATTCCATGGAGATGGGACGGGGTTGCTATTTCTTTTTTTCGAGAACTTATATATGTCTAATCAAATATCGTTACATAAAACAAAACAAAACAAAATATAGTATTTTTAGGGAGAGGGAAAATGAGAGACATATATATATACCTTGGAGGAGGAGAAGGCAAAGGGGATATGTTGAAGTTATTGGCAAGATTAATAGCATCATTAATTGTATTAATGATGTGATTAAAACACAAATATCTTCCATAGCTTGACACATCCTCATAGACACAAATATGTGCATACACCAAGAAATCAACATCAACACTCACAAGGACTCCATTTTCATACATCTCTTTAGCTCCTTTTAGATAAGGATTTTTTATGTTTAAATCATCATCCATTAATAATCCTGAGTTTATTGACACCATCTTTATGCCTCTATCCATAGCTAAACCCCATGCTGTTCTCTCTGCTAGTGTTTTTGATAAAGCATACCATAACTGTCCATCAACAAAATAACAATCAATACTATCAAATAATTATAATGTTTCAAGTTTGTTTTGCATTTGTGACTTCAATCGCCTATATATGTTTGAAGTTAAACTTGAAGTGGCACTAAGAGATTGAAATTTTGTCCGACTTTACGAGACGTGTTCAATTCGAATTAAGACTCTAGAAGCTAGCTGTGTTTAGTTTAATTCAACCCTAAACTCTAGTTCATGCCTATATAAATGGTACAATTTCCCTTAAAACGTATGTAAAATATTCTGTAAATTGATGGAATATAATCAAATCTAAATCATCATGATTCGAAAAATACGCCACTTACGAACCCTCGAATCATTAATAAACTTTAATTATACAAAATCCCAAAATTAATTTATATATATATATATATATATATATATATATATATATATATGCAATTGTCCCTTAAAATATAAAAATGCGTCCTATCAAAATATATAACATAAACAAAAAATAAAAAAATTATCATACCTTGTATTTACGACAAAAATTGATGTCACTCCAATGTTTTTCATCAATAGATGAAGATTTTTTATCATCAAATTCCAAAAAAATATAATACAAAATTCATGTAAATTGAGTAATTGTTTTCTCATGTTTTATATATAAGTTACTATAAATATCTAATTACAAGTCATTATAAAAAATTGACTTTAAATATTTAATCCACCTTAGAAAACCTATAGTCCCAAATTGCTTTTTATTTTTCTTTTTGAAAAATCCAAAAAAAAAGGACACCAAAAAATAAAATGTGGACACAAAACTTTTGATTATTAGCTTAACTTGAATTAATTAGTAAAAATTCATAGAGACGGAGTTAGTCTTGAATTAATTAGCTGACCAACTATTTAGACCTTCCAAATCCTTCTATACTAATGTTCTTCTTCTTTTTTTTCCCCCAAAATATGTGTTGTTTTAGTAAAATATAAATTTCCAAAATAAATGACGTGTTAAAAATTTAAGACAAAACAAATAATTATTATTTCTATTTATATCCTTATATATTAGGAAAGAATTGCTATCTTCTTCTTAATAGTAATAATCATTTCTCTTAATAAACCAGATTTTACTTTATTGGAGTAAAATAAGTTAAAATGACACTTATTCTGAAACGAATAAGTATAATTGTTATCATAAAAATCTCCAAAGACCATTTGTTGAAGATACAAGTTTTGTATTTTCTTACTCTTTAATTTTTATAATGCATTTATAAAATATTAATAACGTATATAAGTTCAACTTTATATGAAAACACACGAAGTATATATATATATAGGCTTAAAAACTTAAATTTTTTAGATGAGATGATCACACAAAGATTATAAATAATGTAATTATAACATTTAGACATGAAAAGGGCATAATGGGGAGAAAAAAATGGAAGGAGAGAGGAGAGAACATACATCATAAGTAGCTGAGTGGTCCTTGGGGGGCTCAAAGGAGTAAAAAAGACAACAACACCCTTTCAATGCATCAATTATGCTATGGTAATCAAAAAGATCCAAACAAAAAGCCTTCAATCTCTTCTTGTCACATTTTGATATCAACTCACTTTCATCACCTACACAATACCATCGTGAATTTATCGCTAAATAACTCCTAGCTAATAAATTTGTCTCATAAAAGGGATAATTAGAAGCGATGACCTTTTTTTTTTTTATTTAGCTATATTTGTGTATAATTTGTTTATCACTAATTTTTATTTTTGATAGTTTGTAATATATATAAGTTTGAAATTGAAAAGATCGATCTACGTAACTATTAATATAAGAAAATATCTTTTCAAAAAATACTCTTTTCGAAAGTTTTATAAATATACAAAGTGTGAACTCCCCCTAAGTATCTTTAAGTTGCAATATACAATGAATTCTCCTAAAGTATTTTTTAGTTATCTCTTCAAGAAAAATTAGATCAATTGTTGGTGAAGTAAAAAAAGAAAGAAAAAAACTAACCATGATTTTGAATAGCAGCATGGACGGTGAAGCCCTTTTCAAGTAGTCGAATAATTAAGCTTGAGACGAACTTAGTAGAAGAACCCATAACATAAACAGTGTTGGAGATGCAACATAAAGGACTAGTTGGAGCCATTATAATTTATTAAGGATTAATATGACAAGCTAGCTATGTTATGGATTTGGCTAGTATTTATACATGAAAAAAAAAAGGATGTGTCAAAGGAGGGTAAGTATTATAGAAGAAATATGGATATGTACTCCATATATATATAGAGAGAGACAAGTTAAGCTAAAGAAGCAATTCAAAGAATGTGGAGTTTTAATAGATGTTTGACAGGTGGTTATCGGACGTATTGAGTTAAATTTGAATTGACTAAAAATAAAATTATTAATAAATATCAGATTATTAACTCGTTCAAACGTTACTTTGATCGATCGAGGTCGGATGATTTAAGATGGGCTAAGGGCTAGTTGTAGATTAATTATTCGCCCAAAACTTATCAAATTTTAATTTTTATATTTTTATATTAAAAGTCAAAGGAAAGATGGTGCATTCCATAGACACCTAATTTAGACTTTAATTCATAAATTTCAAATTTCAAATTCTCGGGATAAAGTTCATAAGATAAAAGTTTGGTCTATGACGTGGCAATTTGTAGTAACGTATAGATTATAATATAGAGAAACCAAATGACCACAAGAAACACCTACTTCCAAATTTTGTCTTAACCAATAAAAATAGCTATAGCTACTTGTCTTTTCTTTGTTAAGAGCCTGTTTGACTCAGCTTAAAAGCTGGTCAAATTGACTTAAAAGCTGGTTTTTGACTTATTTAGCTGTTTGGCAATACTCAAAACAGCTTATTTTAAGTTAAAAAAAACTTATTTTAAGCCAAAAGTTAAAAGCTGGGGTAGGGGTGCTTTTTTTTTTTTAGCTTATAAGCTGTTTTAAGTTGACCAAATTTTTATCTTTTTGTGCTTAATATTTTTATACAATCTCCAAATTACCATATAACCCTAACATTTCTTTCTTCCATTTTTCCCTTTTCACGTTTGACATAACAATTTCAGCACTTTTATCTAAACGCATAACTGCTTATTTTAAAAATAAGTTTCAGCACTTTTAAAAGTACTTTTTAAAAGCTGCTTTTATTAAGCACATCCAAACGGGCCCTAACTCTTGTTGGTTTGTTGTACACGTTATAAGACATTCATTTTATCCTGTGGTTGCATATACAAAAATATTGGGATTATCCTTTAATAACAAGTAAATAAGTATAACAATAACATACTCAATCTTATATATGAAATTTAAAATAAGAACAATAATGTACTTAAATTTTATTCTTAATTCAGAATTTATTTTTGATAAATCCTTGATGCAAAAAGAAAGTATCTGACATAGAATTGTGAAACAAGAGGAAACAAAATACAAGGATACGAAATAATTTTTAACTAAGTTGAGAAGTACATATATAAGTAAAAACAATAACATATCCAATGTAATCTTACAAATAAGGTCTGAGGAGGATAGGGGATGCACACAAACCTAATCACTACTTTTACGAAATAGAGATTATTTTCAATAGATCTTCGACTAAAAAAGAAAATATCCAATCCAGAATTATAAGAAATAAAAAAAAAACAAAATAATCTCTATAGCTATATTGGATTAAATCTGATTCCTTAATTTGACATAGTAAAAATATTAAGTGTGTGAAATAATAATGTGAAGTTCTTGTTTAATAAAATAAAATGTATGAAAATTTGAAGTTCTATAAGACTGACAAGGAAAGGAATAAAACGCGCTCCACAGTTGCGATTTATCAATAAAATGTGAAATTTTCTTTCTATGTTAAAAAATATTCATATGTTATTTTTAATTTGTCATTTTCTATTTCTTATTTATTTTTTCTTCTTTAAATATTTACATCTACTAAAAACACTAAATTAATTATGATTTTAATTTGATAGTTTATCTTATTTTTAAAATATCGTTTTTTCCGTATCTTTTAAGGGTTGTATGACCAAAACAAATAAATATTCTTGAATTCTAATTAATTATGATTTTAATTTGATAGTTTATTTTATTTTTATGATGAGATATATGATACCAAAACTTAGGTGTATAAATAATATTGATTTTAATTTATATCTTCAATTAAATGTGGAGAAAAATTAATTTTAAATCATAGTTATTGTTAAGAATATTGATCTTGTTATTTTTTTAATGGGATATAAACTATATCAAAATTTCGGTGTATAAATTATATTGCTTTTATTTATAATTAATATATTCGATCAAATATGGAATACACTTAATTTCAAAATGAGAATATTCTAGTATGAACTATAATTAAAATTAAAAAAATTGATAGTTGATCTTATTTTTTAAATGAGATAAACATTACAGTATATCAAAATTTTATTTTATAAGTATTACTGATTTTAATTAATATTTGAGATCAAATATAGAATAAATTTAGTTTCAAAAATAAGAGTTTCTAAAATTATTACCCTGAATTATAATATAGATTAAAAATTGACAATTGCTTTTTTTAATATGAGATAAAGTATACAAAAGTTTTGGTTTACAAATAATATCGATTTTTACTTAATATCTCCAATCAAATATATATGAAATAAATTTAATTTCAATATGAAAATATCTAAAATCATTATCCTGAATTATAATTAAGATTAGAATTTGAGAGTTGATCTTATCTTTTATACTCTCTTTGTTCCTAATTACTTATTTATTTTTCTTTTTTGATTGTCCCTAATTACTTGTCCATTTTAACTAAGTAAGATACAATAATTTTTGACTTATTATACTCTCAATTAATTATTTTAAAGTTGGTAGAATTTTTTAAAAATCTTTTATTTTCATATTATATAGAGGTAAACTGGTAAATTTACTATATCAATAAAAAAAATTTAAATAAATGTGTCAATTCAAAAGTTATGAGCAAAATTTTGGTATAAAAATAATGCTATTAATTTTAGTTAATATGTCTAAAAAATATGGAATAAATTAAACTTCAATTTAGTTAATATTTACAGTATATATATTTTTTCTTTAGAAGGGACAATGTATTAGTAGGAAATTCAACTTCATTTTAGTTAATACTGATAAAACTGCGATTTATGAGTGCACTGAACAATTTTAAGTAGTTTAAGGATTGGCTCACTACGTGGCATAATATCTCTAACTATATATATAGAAGTACATATATAACTAAAAACAATAACATACCCAGTATAATCTTATAAATAGAGTCAGAGGAGATTAAGGAATGTACACAGACTTAACCGAAGTAGAGAATTTATTTTTAATAGATTATCGACTCAAAAAAAGATATCATCTCCAGAATTAAAAGAAAAAAAAAGAGACAACAAAATAATGTCTATAACTATATTGGAATAAGTTTAATTCCTTAATTTGACATAGTAAAAATATTAAGTGTGTAATATATGTAATAATAATGTGAATTTCTTGCTTAATGAAATAGAATATATGTAAATTTGTAGTTTCGTAAATGCTATAAGACTGAAACAAGGAAAGGCGTAAAACGAGTTCGTCGAACCGATTTATAAACAAAATGTAAAGTGCTCTTTGTACTATGTGAAATCTAGAAAATATGTTTAAAAAATATTCATGTGTTATTTTAGGTTATTTTTAATTTGTCATTTTCTATTTCTTATTCATTTTTTCTTCTTCAAACATCTACATTGTTTGTTAAAAAAACACTATTTTAACTTACTTAAATTCATAACCTTAATTCTATAAAAATAAATAAATCTACTAAGGAACTTTCACCTCAAAAAAATAACTTAATTATTCTCCATTGTTATAGTTTAATAATTACAAAGGAGGCGAAATAAATTGAAAGAGGCAAGCGAGAGAGAGCAAAGAATGAGAGAGGTGAATTGTATGTATATCGGTTAGATAATTGTATATTATATATATGCATTTATATATATGGCAAGTGAGATTAGGGAATGGAGGAGAGAGGTGAATTATATATGTATATGTCGATTAGTTAGTTGCATATTATACGTATACAAATATGGCTAATTATAAAATTCAAAATTAATCCACGTAATTAATGTATAATAATATTAGTCAATTATAGAAAACTATTTGTACGATGAATAATTAAATAGTATAAATTTGATCAACCGCTTAGTTTTCTCACCATAATATATACTCAAATTTTGGTTTGGGGCAACAAATGTAGGAATTGGTTAATGGGTATGTCAGTAGATTGAGCCCAATAAGGAATAGTTGACTGTATATTTTGGTTATGGAATAAAAATTCCTTTAGAATGCATGGCAGCACAGTATATACACAAGTTTAGCAGGCAAAACAAGAGCAATGATATAGCGGTGGGTGTTGTTTCAAGGTTCAGAGCATTAATTCCAGTTAATAAGGGTCCGGTTATAGAAAGAATTGATACATACAAGTTGGCAACAGAGTGTCAAAAATCAGTTATAGAAATTAAATGATTTCACCAGTTCTGATATATCAGACACACAGCAACATCACTTTGTGATACAATGTGAGCCTCTGTATAATGCTTAAAACTGAAGAGTATTTATTCATTCTTATAATTCAATCCATGCAAACATCAATTAAAATGACATCTTGCTCCAATCATCCAAGATATATTCAACAGTTAAGCAACTAACAAATACATACTTTTATCAAAACCAACTACTTTTATTATCAACCCTAAGAGACAAATTGATTCAATAAATTCAACAGAATCCAGCGCCATAACTCATTTATTCTACACATGCATGCATATCCTCTTAAAAAAGGTCTCATGGACCAACAAAAACTTAAAGATATACCTTCTCCAACCATAACAAGTGAAATGCAGAGTGAGCTGTAAAAGAGCACAAACCTTGGCTTGGCTTCCCCAAATAGCTCTATGACAACTCAACCAGTCCATCCACATGAAACAGGTCATACAAATAATAATTGAAACATGACACGCAGGACATGATCGATCAACACAGTGGGAACCTATCCCCACTCCTGCTATGATTGCATTCGTGGTTATCGAATCAAAACCTTCATCATGTTCAAGAATCAGATATAGCATAAGAATCTAACAACTAACTGTTAGATTCTTGCTGTCCAGAAAATTAAAAGGAATATCTTGCTGACATAATTCTCATGAACAAGACAGATCATATATTCACGTAAACACAAAGTGGACAATGAAATATATAAACAGAA